CTAATATTTTTACAAATATTATAATATCTACTTTAAGAAGCTAATAATTACTAATATTTTTACAAATATTATAAACTAATCATACAAATAAGTATAATAATAATTTTGAAATGGTGTGTAATCAAATTTTTTTATATTCTCTTATACATAATAATTTTACACTGTTTGAACCCGAATCTTTAATTTATAATTATTAAGTATTGTTTATCCTCCTCTTTAATTTATAATTATTATTTTTTCTTCTTCTTTTTAAATAGGATCAATAGTAGTTTCCACTTCCGCTATTGAGTGACTCAAACTCGAGGTCTATTTATAATATTGTTAATTTAATATTGTTCCCGTGCATCGCACGGGGTACACACTACTTTATTAAAAATAGAAGTAACAAATTTTGGGAGTATTTAATGCATACCTTTTTTTTGAAAACTTTTGAAAATATATGCATTAATTGCTTTCGTATACATGTTTTCAAATAAGATGAAATCAGATATGATCAAAAATATTATTTTCTTAAATAATTATATTAGTATCTGCAATAATTTCATTGATACCCATTATAATGAATTACAGTATCGATTTTTCGTGATTCATGTTGATAATATTTTGGTCAAGATAAATATTACAACATATTTTAAGTTCTAACCATAATATTATTTATTTTTTTGTAAATATTCACCTTTTATCCAAAAAAGTTTACAGAAAATCGTAACAGGTTAGATAAAAAAATTTCTCAATTAATCAGATGAAATCAAGTTGGTGAATTAATATTTGCCAGTTTAATTTTTTCTTAAGCTTTATTTCATTATATATAATGACCCGATACATTAAATAATTTTACTAATGGTCCAAAATTAAAATACATTAACAGTTCTTTAGAATTTATTTGTAGATTATTGGCAACCATGATTGTTTTTTATCATTTTTTTTATTTTGATTTTTGCTATAATGAAATTCTTATAAAATATATTTTCATTGCAGAGTATGCTAAATAAACTATGAATCCTTATAATGCAAGTTAGAAAAATCTTGATTATAGAAGGGATTTGAATTTTGTCCTTTGTTAAATCCAAGTCGTTTAATTAATATACACTATTAAATTCTAAATAAACATGTGTGTATATTTTGTAAAATATTTATACACTATTTAATTTTAAATATATTTACATATTTGATTACACCAAAGTTTATAATAAAATAATAATTAAGTATTATATGGTGAACAAGAATAAGTAAAACTGTTATTTTCTCTTATATCGTAGAATAAATATATATACTAAAATCAAATTTATATTAGGATAAATGTGTTAGTGAGATAATATATTAATTATTTTATAAGCTAGCACGAACATGTTCATATTTAATGTTTTGGCTAAAAAAAATATAAATTAAAAGAGGTTGAAAATAGATTATAACTCTATTGTTTTTTAGACTTAACGCTGATTAGAAAAGATGAGAAATAGGTAATAACACTATTGCCTTTTAGATTTAAAGAGACAAACATGTGAAAATAACTCATTTAACATCTATATCTCGTGCATCGCACGGGGTATGTACTTGTAATAATAATAATAATCTAAGTCAAGATCTAAATCATCTTAACTTAATTACATTATCTTCAATATTATCATTATAATTAAATGATACCAATCTATAATTTTTACATACCATATCAATTTTAATTCACTATTTATTTACTCACATAATTTTAATTACATATCACTTCCAATTATTTATCTCATACTTTAACATGAAATAATTTTAATTAGTTTATTTTAAATATTATTTTAATAAAAATTCAAAATCCCACTAACAACTAATATATCAATTTTTTTCAAAATTATAATTATAAAAAAATTAATTAAATATCAATATATTTGTCAAGCAGCAAGCCCTAAATAAAATAAATTAAAATGATTCACGAACACTACTGATTTCACAATCGAAAGATTTTGCATGATATGCTTATCAGCTTATGTCAGCAAGAATATCTCAATACGTTGTTATCATAGATATGGGCAAAGACTGGAGAAAAACATATTTACCGAGAGAGAGAGAAAAAAAATAAATAATAAAAAATAAAAAAAATAAAAAGAAAAAAAAACATATTTACTGAGAATGAAGCAATAATGCAAATAATATTTTAATGAATTTTATCTCGCATGATATGGTTAATTGAAACGTATAAAAAGTAAAAGAATAGCCATTAATTACCCAATTTTAGAATATCAAAAAGGTAAAATTGCATATTAATACACAACCTTTTATGTTTTCGTAATTAACCTCGAATTCCAAACAAAAAACATTATTTGCTTTTATGGAGATTTGACTATTGTTAGCAATTCGAATGCAAACACTATAGAAGTACCTGTTTTTTTAACTGAAATGGTTTTTGAGTTGCAATTGATTCTTTAACTGAAACGGGTACTTTGTTTAATCTGGTGCAATTTTTTTGAGTTTGCAATTTGAAAAGGTATCAGTTAAATTATTATTTTTAATTTAATAAATTAAATTGAAAAATTACAAATAAATTACACCACCTTTTAATAATATATTAAACAAAGTACTTGTTTCAGTTAAAAAATCAATTGCAACTCAAAAACCATTTCAGTTAAAAAAATCATTTCATCGTTAAATAAAAAAAATCAATTGCAACTCAAAAATCAATTACACCACCTTTCTCGAATTGCAAACAAAAACCATTATCAGGGATATCTGAGGTGATCACAGAGCAAATGAACATTGACCTTACAATTGTTGTTGAAGAGGAAGAAATTAAAGCGGCCTTGTTCTCCATCTCTCTTCACAAATCCCCTGGGCTTGATGGTAAAGAAACTCTCCTCAAGGCAGTGTTGGAGGCACTACCACTATATGCAATGTAATGTTTCCTTCTCCCAAAGAAAGTGTGCCAACATTGCTAAACTATTTGTTGAATTTTGGTGGAGAAACAAAAAAAGAGGGGGCAAAGGCCATACACTGGAAAACTTGGTATTTGATCACAATTGCAAAAGATAATGGAGGACTAGGATTTCATGACATCCACCTCATGAATAAAACCCTAATCTCAAAACAGTGGTGGAGGATGAACAATAATTTCAGTCTCCTGGTTAGTAGAATCATCAAGGCCAAAAACTTTCCTCAATCAAGCCTGTTAAATGCTAAGGAGCTTAAAAATGGGTCATCGATGTGGTCTAGCTGGAGAAAGACCCTTGAATTCTTCTCCAAGAATGTGATCTACAAAACGAATAAAGGCTCAGAGATTAACATTTGGGATCACAATTGGATCCATAGATTGAAAGACTACAAACCAAGCCCACTCAACCCAAGAAGACAGACATTGACTTGGGTACATGAACTCTTGGATGAGACAGGCAGGAATTGGAATGTGGAGTTAGTGCAACAAAGCGTCCCACATGAAGAATGCTGTTTGTTCCATTTTTCTATCTTTATTTCATGTTTATTTTCTTTTTGTTTTCCCCCATTGTAGGTTTTTCGTAGTTTATTTGGTCCATTTGTTCGTTTTATGTTTTTCTCCTTAGTTTCTATTTGTGTGTCTTTTTGCCGTGTTTTGCTTCGTGGTTTTTCTTGTTTTTGTGTTTTCAGGAGGTAGGTTGTGCCGGTCGAGGTTGGGACTGCTTGAGCCGAGACCGTAATCTCGAGAATACCCGTTGTCGAGCCCCAAAGACTAAAGGAAGGACTGAAAAACGGACAGAAAACGCGCCCAGTATTTCTCGCGACCCGCGAAAAAAACAAAGGCTTAAGGGGCAGTCCGGAGCACGAGTCGCGACTCGCGACTTGGGTCGCGACCCAACCCTAAAAGTTTAACATTTTGACGACTCGCGACTCGCGACCAGGGAAAAGGTGAAGTCGCGACTCGCGACTTATCGGCACGAATTTCAAGGAGCGGATTTTTAACATCAGATTTTTCGATCCTAGGGTTGATAATTCGACTTCCAGACTTTATTTTTACGCTTTTTCTCTCTAGAAACTCATTCCTTTTCATAGTTTTTCACTTTTGATCTGTTGTAGAGATTGAAAAACTCCTTTTTCTCGCGTTGGATTTGGATGCACTTGGATTTGACATTGGATTCTTTATATTAATCGTAAGTTCTTTTTCTTAATTTCTTTGTTGATGATGATGGCTTGGGTTGATATGAATTGTGATGTTGAATTCCATATGAGTAGTTAAATCCATTTGCTAGGGATAGGGGATGATTGATTAGGTTCGTTATAATTGAATGCTTTTGATTATTCATATCTATTCGAGTGGTGTGCATTATAGGGTTAGTTGATTGATCACCATTCTAACCTAGATAATCAACGTGTAGAACCGAGAGGGGAGATGTTGGTCGATTTAGGCTCGTTTAGAATAGACTTATTCGTCATGGTATTGTCTATGTGTTGTTGGAATTGATAGTTGATCATTCACATTCACTCTCTTGTTACGAAGAGTTATTGAGAGTGAACCTCTGAACGAGAAACGATTCAAGTCCTTTAACCGAGCAATTGATTGTTGGTGATTATGTTAGAACCGAAAGCAACTATCCCCGATTCCCTAGCTCTTTAGTAATTCAGTGAATTTATTTGCCATTTTACTTTCATTTTATTTAGTTTAAACCATTAGTTGATAATTGAAACCCAAAAGTATTGAATTAGAGTGTTTAGGAATTTGTTTTCTCTTTTTCGTGATTGAATAAACGCACAAGAATATCCGGCTAACCCTCCTTGCGATACGACCCGGGGAATGAATTTTTCGATTCTACTCCGGTAAAAATACTGACAACAAAATTGGCGTCGTTGCCGGGGAAGGTTCAGGACTATAAATGTGCGCCTATTCATTTTTTTTTTAGTGTTTCTCTTATTTCTTGTGATTTTTCTTATTTCAGTGTTTCTCTTTGTTTCTTTTGCTTAGTCTAATAGTTCTTGATTTTTAGTTGCTTGTTTTGCTTTAGGATTCTCCTTTGTTTATCTGGTGCTCGTGATGTTTTCTTTTGTCTTTGTGTATGCGTACCAGGAGTGGGTGTATTATAGGACCAAATGACGAACCAAGTCACGAGAGCGTATGGGAGCTGTTTGACAAACTCAGCCTCAATTCATCTGAAACCACAAATCCAGATATGGCCCTACAACACCGCGATCTCCTTCGAGACTTAGCCCATCCGACGATTGGGCCGATAATTTCATGCATCCAGTTGCCACAAGAAGCTCGGAACTACGAGCTTAAGATGATCCATTACAACCAGCTGCCATCCTTACACGGGCTCCCGAATGAAGACCCGCTTAACTTCATTCGGGAATTCTACAATGTGCTACATACTTCCCTCTCCACGGGGTCAGCGAGGAGCAACTGAAGATGAGGTGTTTCCCGAGACACTGAAGGACCGGGCCAAGGCTTGGTTCATGACCCTCGCACTAGATTCACTAACTACTTGGGCCGAAGTATACACGAAGTTCATTGGGAGGTACTACTCCCATCAGAAGACCCAGGAGCTCCGGTCCCAAATCGTCTCCTTTGCTCAACTACCAAATGAGCCTCTTCACGAGGCTTGAGAGCGGTTCAAGGATCTCCAGCGGCAGTGCCCTCATCACAACCTCTCTCCGGGGCTACTAATCAACTACTTCTACGACTCCCTCCATCAGAACTTGCAGTATATGGTTGACAATGCGGCGGCGAGAGATATAGGAGCAAAAACGACTGGAGAGATGTTTGACATTTTCTAGACGATGAGCACGAATTCGTCGCAGAAGAGCAGCCGAGGGAAGAGAGTGATAGTAAACGAGGTCGAGCAGGGCAACAATGTGATGGCTCAACAGTTAGCCAAGCTCACAGAGCAAATGCGTTTACTTAACGCACGAGGAGCTCAGCTGGTTCAAACCATGGCCATTGACACGTGTGGGGCATGTGGAGTCCCAGGGCATAGGTCTGAAGTGTGCCCTTCAGCCTTCGATCAGGAGTTCGGTGAGCAGTATGCAGATGCCAGCGCTTTACAGGGATACCAAGCCCGGCCTGGCAATGACCCGTTTTCAAACACGTACAACCCAAGATGGAGGAATCATCCCAGCTTCTCCTGGTCCAACAACACGAACTCCCTCCAGCAACCCCGTCCGAATTTCATGCAGCAGCAACCTCGACCCAACTTCATTCCCCGTCCGAACTACCAGCAGCAGCAGCCGAGAGGACCGGTAGCCGGTATGCAAGCACTGGGATCTGGGCCAAGTTCTTCCCTCCAAGATGACAAGCTCGACAAGATCCTCCAGTTTATCATGAACCAAGATGCATCCATCAAGCGTCTTGAGACACAAGTGGGCCAACTGGCCACTAGGGTCGGGCACATGGAGACCGAATCTGACAAAGGAAAGTTGCCTAGCCAAACCGAGCAAGCTAAAGCCATCACGGTTCTCAGAAGCGGGAAGGTAGTGTACAACAAGGTGCAAATGCCCGGGCCCGAGGATCAAGAGGTGACCAATGAACCTGAAAGTGAGGGGACAGATGCAGAGAAGATCAATGAAGGAGAGGCCGGGAAGGTGACAGACGATCTCGTACTACACAAGTCACAAAATCCATTCAAGCCGCACAATCCCTTTCCGGACCGACTCAGAAACGAGAAGCAGGAGAAGCAGTTTCGGGATCTTTTCAGCATGCTCTCCAAGGTAAATGTTAACTTACCCCTCCTTGATGTGATTAAGAATATGCCATCCTATGGACAATTCTTTAAGGACTTAGTGACGAAGAAGTGAAAGTTCAAGGATGGAGAGAAAGTGATTGTGTATGAGGCGGCAAGTGCAATGCAGCACGACTTGCCCAAGAAAGAACGTGAGCCCGGTGGATTCATAATTCAGATAGCCTTGGGAAACGGGAAGGTAGCTTCGGGGAGGCTTGACCTTGGAGCCGGAATAAACCTCAGGCCCTTCTCGATTTTTTAGAGGCTCGGTCTTGGGGAGTTGAAACCAACCTGCATGTGCCTCCAATTGGCGGACCGTTCCATCCGGTATCCGAAGGGGACAGTCGAGGATGTTCTCGTGAAGGTGGGTAAGCTTATCATTCCAGTTGATTTTGTTGTCTTAAATGTTGGAGATGTTCACGAGAATGGAAAGGATCACACCATTCTTCTCGAGAGACCTTTCATGGCAACTACTAATACCCTCATCGATGTGAAGAACATGACCCTGAATATGACTGTTTTGAGGGAGTCGGTGTCTATTTCCATTCGAGGAGCCATGTCTGCATCCTCGGTTAATTTTGTAGAAGAGTGTGCTTTCATTGATCTAGCCGACCCCTTTGTTGATGAGATGGTACTTCATGTGTTCGAGGAAGTATCGATTCTGGTTTTCGAGGATGAGGAGGAGCATATAGTTGAACTCTTTGAAGTGAGAGAAGGTCATTCCCGAGCTGAGGCCACACTTGAGCTTAAGGAGCTGCTCAAGCACCTTAAGTATGTCTTCTTGGATGATGCTAAACAGAAGCCGATGATCATCTTTGCTGAGCTTGACCGTGAGGAAGAAGAGAAGCTGATAGCCATGCTCCGGAAGAACCAGAAAGCAATCGGGTGGAGCTTAGGAGACATCACGGGGATTAGTCCCTCTACATGCATGCACCGGATTATCTTGGAGGAGGGAGCCAAACCCTTTTGGGATAGCCAATGTCAGCTAAACCCGAATATGATGGAGGTAGTCAAGAAAGAGGTGTTGAAGCTTTTTTCTGAAGGGTTGATCTATCCGGTGGCGAGTAGTGAGTGGGTCAGCCCAATTCATGTGGTGCTTCAGAAGGGTGGCATAACCGTGGTAAAAAACGATAAGAAGGAGTTGGTCCCCACCCGCATCACTATCGGGTGACGCATGTGCATTGATTATCGGCGGCTGAATGCGGTGATGAAGAAGGATCATTTCCCGTTGCCGTTTATTAACCAGATCCTTGACCGTCTGTCGGGCCATCAGTTCTACTGCTTTTTGGATGAACTCTCCGGCTACTACCTGTTGGGTTCGCCTGTACCGTACGGGTTATACGCAGCGGAAAATTATGTTTAAAAAAAACAAGTATTTATCGTATAAACACTCAACCCATACGTACATATAGCGAATGCACGAATCGTCATCATTTAAAAACATGTAATAATACAAATTTTGATTTGTTATAAATAAATTAAATTTACCTTTGTTCTTGAACTCCTTCAAAATTGACGATGAATGAGGAAATCAATTCCCGGTTCGGTAACGTCCACTTCTTGATGTTACTCGCTTTAGGAATCCAAATGTTTTCCCTCTAATCGTGTCCACCTTTTGAAATTTTGTTCCGTAATAGTTTCTTCTCTAGTAGAAACCACTCGGTTTTTACTCAATAAGTATAGAATATATTTTGAGGAGATTTTTACAAGAACTCTTTCTTGTTTTATATTTTGAAGAACACTTCTTCTTTTCTCTCTTTTTCAACTCTTGAAAAACTTAGCAAAACTTGGATTAAAATGAATATCATGTATGTCCATATTTATACTAAACATTTTAGTATAAAATAATAATATTTGGTGGAATATTTTCGTAAAATATAAAAAGTCTTCAAGAATATTTTCATAAAATATTCATTCTTAAATAGGACTATTCCCACTAAATATTGTATTAATAAAAATAAGATTAATTATGTAGAGTAGTTAACAACTCCGAACCACCATAATTAATTTATTCTTATTAACATAAAATAATAATTCTTGAAAACAATTTTTCAAGACTTTATTATTTTAATCTTTTGTCCCATCTCCTCATTTAATAATCATATTATTATTTGAATTTGAAATTTAAAATCCAATTTTAAATTCCAACTATTTATTTAGTAATTCCATTAATTACTAAATTAATATCCAAAAATACAATTAATCAATCTAATTGATTAATTTAATATATTTCTTTAATTGACATCTAATCAAATTAGTTTTGTCAATTAATTCTAACTCTTTAGAATTACTATTTGAATTTTACCTTCATTCAAAAATTGGTGTGACCTTTTAGGTTCACAATTAATAATAGTAGTGGGCTTACAACTCTTTGTAATTTGAATTAATCTAATTAATTCTTATTCATGAAATTAACTCCTTAATTTCAAGAACCCACATATCATGGGAACATCTAGCAAGTAACATGAATCTAGTATTAAGTGAATAGCGAGTAAACCTATTTCGATTACAAGTCCATACATGTAAAATCCTTTCGACATCTAATTTCCCGATTAAATCTTGGGTATGATTTTGTCGAAACCCAAATTAATTTAATAACTATGATTCAATTTCAAGTTTAGTAATTCGTTTATGAATCTCTATTCATCCCGCCTTGGCCAAGGACTTTGAATTACTAACTATGAAACACATAGGAAATTCACTTATCTTTATAAGTGTCAAATTCTTTGTTGACCACTAACAAACTTCCATACATATTAATATAATACCCAAAATATCCCTTTATATGATTGTGCTAGCAATCAAAAGGATAAATCAAAGTAAAATATAATATGCACAAAGTTACCATCGTGCCTCAAGTCT